GTCCAGTGCGCTCCCACAGGTAGAGCTCTGATCAAGCCACAAAGTTAGGGTGATGGCTGCAAGCTCAGCAGCAGCGGTGGAAAGGAGCCTCTTCCACCTCCTCCAGCAGCACTAGGGATGTCTAACTGAGACTTTAGGCCTGCTCCCTCTGGGGCTCCTGGGCTGCCAGAGGGATGTCTGACTGCCAGCTTAGGCCCCATCCCCCGGGGAGTGGGCCTAAACCAGCAGGTGGACATCCCCTGAGGGGTCCTGGACTGCAAGAGGGCACAGGCCAGGCTGCGGGACACCCCCTCATCCCGAGTGCATGAATTTTCATGCACTGGGCCTCTAGTTAAGTTAATAATAATGTACCTACCTATATAGTTTAAGTTTAAAAAATTTGGCTCTCAAAAGAAATTTCAATCGTTGTACTCTTGATATTTGGCTCTGTTGACTAATGAGTTTGCCGACCACTGACCTGGACAGTCTCTGGAGGGGGAGGGCCACACTCCAGCCCTCAGTCCACTCCCTCCACCAGCCCAGGGCACTCACTGGGAGGAGGTGGTTTCCTGAGCATGCTCCCGTCTCCGATGCTGCCTTTATCCCTGGGTATGTGTGTGACTATTAGAATTAGTTTTGTCTGTGTCAGAGAAACCCCGAATAATAGTGTTTCAAATAAGATAGCATTTATTTCTCTATCACATGGGTGATGTCTGGTGGTATTTAGTCCGGGTTTGTTATGATGTCTCTGTAACCATCAGGAATCCAGGCTCTTCCTATTTTACTGGGCCACTCATATCAAACATGGCCTCTAGCTCATGGTGCAGCAGGCTGCCAAAGCTGCAGCCATGATACCAGCATTGCAGCCAGCTAAAAAAATGAAGTGAGGCCCTGGCTGGTTTGGCTCAGTGGAAAGAGTGCTGGCCCTTGGACTGAAAGGTCTCGGGTTCGATTCTGGTCAAGGGCACATTGCAGGCTCAATTGGGAGGCAACCAATCCTTGTTTCTCTCACCCCTTCACTTCCACTCTCTCTAAACAATCATTGGAAAAATATCCTTGGGTGAGGATTAACAAACAAACAAAAAACACACAAAGTGGGGCCCTGGCTAGGTGGCTCAGTTGGTTGGAGCATCGTCCATACACCAAAAAGATGATGCGTTTGATTCCTTGTCAGAGCACATACCTAGGTTTTGGATTCAATCCCTGGTCAGGGGACGTGCAGGAGGCAACCAATCAATGCTTCTCTCTTTCTCTCTCTCTAAAATCAATAAAAACGTATCCTTAGGTGAAGATTAAAAAAAAAAAGGCATATGAAAACATGCTCAAGTCATGAATCATCCGAGAGATGTAAATCAAAATGACAATGAGGTACCATCTCACACCTGTCAGAATGACTATTATCAACAAATCAAACAACAAGTGCTGGCGAGGATGTGGAGAAAAAGGATCCCTCATGCACTTCTGGTGGGAATGCAGACTGGTGCAGCCACTGTGGAAGACAGTATGGAGTTTCCTCAAAAAATTAAAAATGGAACTCCCATTACCCAGCAACCCCACTTCTAGGAATATATCCCAAGAAATCAGAAACACCAATCAAAAAGGATATACACACCCCTATGTTCATAGCAGCACAATTTACAATAGCTAAGATCTGGAAACAACCTAAGTGCCCATCAGCAGATGAGTGGATTAAAAAAACTGTGGTACATTTACACAATGGAATACTACGCTGCTGTAAAAAAGAAAGAACTCTTACCATTTGCAACAGCATGGATGGACCTGGAGAGCATTATGCTAAGTGAAATAAGCCAGTCAGAGAAAGATAAATATCACATGATCTCACTCATTTGTGGAATATAATGAACAACATAAACTGATGAACAAAAATAGATCCAGAAACTGAGAAGTATCGAACAGACCACCAAACCTTAGAGGGAAGGCAGGGGCGGGGGGGCAGGGGGCAGGGGGTGGGGAAGAGATCAACCAAAGGACTTGTATGCATGCATATGGGCATGGCCCATGGACACAGACAGTAGGGGTGTGATGGCATGTGCTGGGGGGTGGGAACAGCTGGAGAGAGATCAATAGGGGAAAAAGGAGACACATATAACACTTTAAACAATAAAGAATTTTTAAAAAAAGAAATTGGGGAAGAAGAATACACATTGTCCATCCCCTTCCCCGTTCCCCCCCCCCCCCTGCCCCAGCACTGAAGCCACACAGGATACTTCTTTATGGACCCTATTGGGCAGAATTTGTTCACAACACTGCACCTAGTCTCAAAAGAAGACATAAAAAATGTCGTCTTTCGTCTGGGTGGCCCTGCACCAAGATTAAAATAGGGGTCTTGCTACTGGGAAAGAAGGTGGGACAATCCCTGGAGTGTAACTAGCTCTCCTTTCCACAGCGTGAGACCTGAGTCGAGGGTTCCCAAGGCTGCCTGGCTCCCCCAGGCCCCTCCGGGTAGCAGCCTGGCCGTGGGGAGTGGCGCTCTGCCTCTCCCTCTGGGCCCTGCCTCCAGCTTCGGGGCTTGAAGTCGCCCTTGGAGCTGTGGTGGTAGCAGGAATATGATCTCCCCCGGGTCTCCATCAGGGAGAGGATCAGTTTGATGATCAGGGCCAGCCACGCCATCCCGAAGAGGATCCACAGGGACACTGTGTTCTTGTACCACAGCGGGTACTGCCGGGAGGGGTCCATCCCTAGGGGAGAGGCAAGGTCGGAGGCTGGAGTCCTGGGAAAGTCAGGGCCAAGTTCCCCACACAGAAATGGGCAGACATGGCTTGACACGGACGAGCACAATATGGGAAGTCCAGACTGGTCCGAGACCGCTGGCCTGGCGGTCACCTCTGAGAGCATCCAGGAAGCCCCCCTGGATTGGCACCAGGGGTTTGAAAACGACAGTTCCTCTTTGTCTAAGGCACTCTGTGCTCTATTCCAGCGGTTCTCAGAGCAGCATCAGCACCACCTGAGAGCCTGTGAGGAATGCAAATGATCGGGCCCCACTCCAGACCGACTGAACCGGGAACGTCTGGGGTGGGCCCCGCATCTGCGTTTTCACAAAGCCCTCCAAGAGATCCCGAGGCCTGATCTGCCGTTCGCGTGTCTCTGTGTGGCTTTCTCATACCTGCAGGGAGGCAGTTTGCCAGGGCCTTTAGGAAGAACAGATGGAACCGCTGGAGTTTGTTTCCTGCCTCCGTTCTTCCTGGCTGTGTGACCTTCATCTGTCTGACTGTCCCTCACCTGGGACATGGGGAAAATAACTTCTCCCCCTGGGCTTTCGGATGAAGTCCTGTTATCTCAAGGCCACTATTTACTTCTCCAGCCTCGATTTGCACACTTCTCCCCTTTGAGAATTGTGCTCCAGTCACTCTGGTCTTCTTCCCAAGTCTTCATCTATCATTTTTCCTGCCCCAGGACCTTTGCACTTACTG